TTGACCATTGGGCCACCTCTGTAGCCTCTATATTAGTTTGTTTTTTTAAAACAGGGTTTTACTGTGTAGCTCTGGCTGTCCTAGAACTCATAGTATAGATCAAGGCGGCTTCAAACTCACAGAGATCCGCCTACCTCTACCTTCCAAATGCTGGGGTTAAAGGTGTGTGTCACCACACCCGACAGTATTTTATTTTGCATCTATGGGACTAGAGTGTTTTCTTGATTTCTTTCTTTCTTTCATCGTTTTTTTTTTTTTTATTGGCATATAAAAAAAGCTATGAGTTTTATGTACTGGTTATATATCTAAGCATCAACTCTTAATAGTTTTCTGCTCCAGTCTTTTTTTTTTTTTAATTTATGGTTTTATTGCTGTGAAGAGACATCATGACTCCAGCAACTCTTATGAAGAGTTAATTGGGGCTGGCTTATAGTTTCAGAGGTTTAGTCCATATCATCATGGAGGGAAGCATGGCAGCGCGCAGGCAGACATGGTGCTGGAGTTGCTGAGAGTTCTACATCTTGATCTTCAGGCAGCAGAAGGAGACTGTGTGCTTGAGCATAGAAGACCTCAAAGCTTGCCCCCACAGTGTCACACTTCCTCCAGCAAGGCCATACCTACTCCAGCAAGGCCATTCCCATTCAAAGTGCTACTCCTATGGGTCAAGGTTTTAAACCCATGGGGGGGGGTCATACCTATTCAAACCATTGCAATATTCGTTGACGTAAATCTTTAAATATTGTTTTTTTTCTCTCTACAGAGTCTTCTACTTCAGATTACATACTAGAGAACTGCCTCCGGCTTAGCCTGGCTATCCTCCTCTTGTTAGTCCTTGGGGCTCTATTGCTGGATGCTTGGAGAAGGAGGAGAGGTCTTGATGGGGCCCTTAGGGAGCCCTGAGCTGAGAGTCTAGATACACTTTTCTAGATCTTCTCTTAGTTAGGGTTTCTATTGCTCTGTAAAGACACCACCATCATGGCAGCTCTGATAAAGAAAACATTTAATTGGGGTTGGCTTCCAGTTCCCGAGGTTTAGTCCATTATCATCATGGCAGAAAGGATGGCAGACATGGTGCTGGAGAAGGAGCTGAGTGAAAATTCTTTATCTTGAGTGGAAGGCAGCAGCAGAAGACTGTGCCACACTGGGCATAGCTTGAGCATAAAAATCTCAAAGCCCACCCCCACAGTGACACACTTCCTCAAACAAGGCCACACCTCCTAATAGTGCCATTCCCTATGGGCCAAGCATTCAAACACCTGAGTCTATGAGGCCATATCTATTCAAACCGCCACAGACCTCAACAAAAATGATGGCAATAAAGAGTCTAAAAGGAGTTGTGATTTCTCTACTGAGTGTTCTTTGCCTGAAGATCTTATGCAATACTGTGACATGACTGGAATTTAAGAATTCTTTTTTCCATCATTATTAATACTATTATTATTAATTATAGTGTATTCACTTTGTATCCCAGTTGTAGCCCCCTCCCTCATCTCCCACCCTGTCTCACAGTCCGCCCCTCTTCCTCTCCCCAAGTCCACTGAGAGGGGAAGTCCTCCTCCCCTACTGTCTGACCCTAGCCTAATCTGGTCCCATCAGGACTGCCTGGATCCTCTTCCTATGTGAGTTGTCTAGGTTGCCTCAGGGAGAAGTGATCAAGGAGCAGGCCGAGTTCATGTCAGACTATCTTTCCCTCTTACTAGGGAACCCACATGGAGAGTGTCTGCTCCAGTCTTTAGTGTTTCTATATACATAATTGTGTCATCTGCAAATAGAAATGCTGCTGACTCCTTTTTCTATTTATATTCCTTTTATGCCTTTCTCTTCTTATTTTGCTAGCTAACACTTCAAAACTTATATTGAATAAGAATAGAGAAAGAAGACACCTCTGCACCCCTGCCAAGTTCCTGATTTTAGTGGAAAGGTTTTTTGTTTGTTTGTTTGTTTGTTTTGTTTTACTCTTCTTCCATTTATTACAACATTGGTTGTAGGATTGTTGTATATAAACTTTATATTTGAGGTATGTTCCTTCTTAAAAAAATTCTTTTTTTGGAACAGACACATGTAGCCTAGGCTGTTATCAAACTTGCTGTGTAGTTAGTGATGACCTTGAACTTCTGATCTGACTGTCTCCCAAGCTCTGACATCACACGGTCATTATGCTTAATTTATGCAGTGCTAGTGATCAAACATGGAGTTTCTGTGTATGCTAGGCAAGTTCTCTATCAATTGACCGGCCCATTCCTCAGCCCCTATGCTGAAGTATTTTTCTTCTATTCCTAGCTCAACTTTTTATCATAATGACATGTTAAACTTTCTCACAGATCCTTCCTGAGCCTACTGAAATGACCATCTCATTTTTTGTCCTTGACTCTTTTTATGCCGTGTCATGTCATTGCACAGCTCCAGGGACTTGACCTCACTGAGAAAATGAAGAAAAGACAAACACACAGACACAAAGAAAAGCTGGGACTGAGTGGACTAGGGTCTTGGATGCGGAAGCCTCAGCAACTGGGAAGCTCAACATGTTAATTACATAGAGTTGAGCAGGAAGGTGGGGTTATTGCATGTAGCTGCACAAGAGGCAGGTTCAGCTCATCTCAGTAGGAGCAGGCTCTGGAGGGGAGGCAGTCCTCAGGCTGTGGACTTCAGGCCGGGGGAAAGCTACTGTGGACATTTTCTGAACACACTGTCGATATTTATACTTGGATCCTTGAGGAAGGCTTTGCCATCCCTGAGGCTCACCCAGGGAAGGCTTGGCCATGGGGCTCTTATGGGGCTGAGGCATTGGAGCCCTTGACATGCCCAGATCCATGTTAACAGTATACATATACTCAGGGCTTACTCCATTCCCTACAATGTAAACTCAGTCTTAGCCAAAAGCCCAGAGAAGCCATTTCATCTATTTATGGGATTTATTACAACTACTGATTTGCCTATGTTGAACCATCTCTGTCTCTGTTGATGAAGCCATTTTGATCATGATACAAATCTTTTTGTAAGTGATTTGATTTACAAGTTGTTTGTTTGTTGTTATTGTTGTTTTTGACACAGGGTTTCACTGTGTTGCCCTGGATGGCTGTCCTGGAAGGTTTGCAGATATTTTGTTGATAATTATTTTTGCACTAATTTTTATCAGAAAGAATGACCTTTTCTTTTTGTTGTTATAGCCTTAGCTAGTTTCGGTATCAGGGTAATCAATATTGGCCCTATACAATGAGTTTGACAGCATTTCCTCCATTTGTATTTCATGAAGTCATGTGAGGGACATGGAGTTAATTTTTTAAGGTCTGGTGGAATTTAGCAGTGAACACATCTGGTCTCTGTTTAGTTGGAAGAGTTTAACAAATTATTGCTTCAATTTTATTGTTTGTTATAAATCTCTGGAAATGTTTAGATTTCTTTGTTTAATTTTGTTAGGTCAAATGTATTTGGAAACCAATCCATGCTTTTAGATTTTCAGTTTAGTGGAATATATGTTTTTTAAGTATGTCATAATGATTTTCTAAATACCATTTTTAGTTGTTGGAATGTCTCCATTTTCATCTCTAAATTTATGTATTTGGCTCTTTTTTTCTTTCTTTTGGATAATTTGGCTAAGAGTCTACTGATTTTTTTTATGTTTCTATTGATTATTATTATTTTTTTAACTGGTCCTCTTGTTTCTATTTCATTACTTTCTTTCTTAGTATCTACTGTTTCCATATGCTATTTTTTGGGTTTAATTGTTCTTGTTACTAAGACCTTGAGGCACATCATTACATTATTATCTAAGGTTTCTCTGTTTTTTAAAATGTAGACCTTTACATAGTTATAACCTTCCCTCTTATAACTGCATTCATTATACTTTGCAGGTTGTGATATACTGTAATTTTCACTTTCATTCAATTCAAGGAATTTGTTAAGTTCCCTCCCAATTTCTTTGATGACCAATTTATCACTCAGTCTTGATGGATTCATTACAGTCATTTATTTTCCACGAAGTTTGAGTTTTTGGGATAGTTCTTTTTAATACTGAACTAGATAGTTCATTAAAAGTGTTTGGTAAAATGCTTGACTCCTGGTAAACTGTAGCTATTGTTTTCATTTGGAAACAATTAAATACTTGGCAATAAGTAAATGTTAAACTTTTTCAAGAGTTTTATGTCTTCATAACATAGAACCCTTGCATAGATGTAGCCCATGGCAGCCTAGTCTCAAAATGGGCTTCCTAGTAAGGGGAACAGGGGCTGTCTCTGACATGAACTCAGTGGCTGGCTCTTTGATGACTGGACATTTTCAATGTTACTGACTTGCTGTAGAACTCATTAGGACCTCTGGACAAAACCAAGAACATACCTATTATAAGTCTCCCAATGTATGAAAAAGGGAAATAAAAGGACATGACTGCTCCTAGGTATGGTGGAGGAGAAGGTTTGTTGTAGATAAGAGGGAGAGCACAGCAAGAGGAAGAGACATCTGGGAGAGTCCAGAGTGAACATGACCTTGAGCTAAGCCATGTGAGGAGATGGGGGAAGAGAAAAGGATGAGCTGGGAGACCAACAGACCAAGAGGCCAGGAGGTAAAAGGGTGAAAAAGGACCAGGGTAGCCCGAATGGCTGGATTATCTGGGGAAGAACCACTGGAGGAAGGACAGCCCAGCCCCATGGCTGGAGAGTTCAGGGTAGGAGCTGAGTATGACAGGTAGGAACTCAGGGATTCTGGGAGAACCTGGAGGTCAGATCTGTTTTGATATGTTAATAGGCACCTCAGCCATTTGTCCCTGGTTTGAGACCTAACAGGTAGTAGGGTTCATTATCTATATGAAAGGACTTCACCCTGAGATTTGTTTGTATACATTCAGTGTCTTTAGTTGGTCTTCTAATTATTGTGAAGCATGCGGAGAAGAATTAGTAGTAAACAAGGTTACCAGTGTATTTAGTTTTTTTCTTTGATTTGAAGTTAGAAAAAAATATTCTTAACTATTGTCTACTTCTTCTCCTTTGTTTGTGTGTGTGTTGCAGAGACACAGACTCTGGGGACCCTCGTTGATAAAAATCAAACAGTAAGTAGCTTTCATGTGTATGCTAACATTGTGCTTGGCTGTAGACTTCCTTCTCCATGCCATCCCTTCTGTGGGAAAACTTTTACCCTCCTTGGCTTCACATTCTGTGGCTTTCATGTGTGGACAATGACAAACCTGACAACACAGGCCTGTCACTGATAAAAGCACGATATGGGTGTGAAGCTCCTGGCACCTGATGAGTGTGGAAAAGCCCCAAGAAATGAACGTTCATCTCTCTTTGCAAATGTCACCACTGTGTATCACTGTGGAAGGCTCCTTGACTTCCTTTTCAGATTTTCCACTTGGGTTTGGCTGAGCTTTTGACACAAGCTGTCATTGTAGCCCAGGCTGGTCTTAAACTCAGTGTGTAGCTAAGGATGATTTTGAACTCCCAATCTTTCTGCCTCCACCTCCACAGTGCTGGGGTGGCCAGCTTACATTTTGTATTTGTTTTTTTTTTTTTTTGTACAGTCATTTTTTTTTCTGTAACAAGACACTCTTCAGAAATGCCCACAGCCAAGAATTTATATACTGATCTAGAGAGAGAGAGAGAGAAAGAGAGAGAGAGAGAAACACTAAAAAGCCTACCAGCATTAGCAACTTGAAAATTCTTTGATGACTGGATTTTGAGGTGCCTCAGTGGTAAAAGCACTTGCCACAGAGCCTGACTAGCTGACTGTGACTCTTGGAACTCATGATAGAAGGAAGGAGCTGACTCCTGACAGTAGTCCTCGATCACCGTTCCTGTGACACGTACCACTATCCGGATGCACACATTTGCACATGCGTACATTCACCAATAATCAAGAGACAACAATAATAAAAACCATCACATGTAGGGCTACGTCTTGAAGCCTGCATTCGATTAACGTGATCTCTTATTTGTCTGCTCATGATCTGGGCCTGGCACCGTGTGCTTATCTCTCCTCTCTTTGAGACAGTGAACACGTCTACGAACTTCTGTCTGCCACAAGTGCTTAGCATATGGTGCTTTGTACGCCGGATTCCTGCTTCTGCAGAAGGAATGTGTGTTGATTAAACTGAGGACATAACCTCCGAGATGTATTGTTTAGTGTTGTCGACTGATTTTCAATGTAGTTTTTGTTTATTCTTAGATTATTTTGTACATGCATACAGTGAATTTCGATAATATTCACTTCATCCCCCTCCCAACTCCTAGATCCCTCTCATGTCTCCTCCCAAGTATGTGTCTTCTTTTTGTTGTTGTTGTTCTTAACGTATGGATTCTAATTAGGCTTCCCATAGAGGCATGAGTGCTTTGGGTTTTTGTAGTTCAGGCTGGCCTCAATTTTACTGCTTTCCTGACTTAGCCTCCTGAGTTTCCGAGGTTATGGATGTTCATCACCGTGACAGGTTGGCCTATTTATTTAAAAAGTGTCTGTACTATCATTTGTCTTTGAAGGTGAAATGTGGACTTAAATTTTAAAATACAAGGATGTGTGTGACTCTGGCATCAGAAACAAGAGAAACAGCAGTAGTGCTTACCATTGACTGAGTGCTCATTAAGGAACAGGCTCTGCACAGGGTCACTAAGCTCTTGGAGATGTGAGATTTGAACCCAGGACTGTGTAGTTGCAAAGTCCTAGCTCTTGCCAATACCACTTTCTCTGTGTGATGGAGGTTTCTTTGAAAGACATCATATGTAGGCCATTCTGAAACTCCCTCCGTCTGAACACGATTTTGAAGCAGTTGGGTTCTACTATAAAGCATCCTTTGGGATGGGACAGTGACTTTTACACCTAAAGCACTGAAGGGAACGCTTTTACTTCCCTGTTAACTACAAAAATTAAGCTAATACATTTCATTTCTTTGGTGGCTGAGGCTTGTCTGGAAGGAGACAGATCAAGGGTGGGTTCATCATTCCTGCCATCCCAAGAAGCCATAAAAAATAGTGGTATGACCCTTGAATCATGAGACTGGCTGAGCATATGACCAATTTCTGGACATCGCAAACTTGAATCCTGCTTTCTTTCCCCCAGAAGATTTCCACCTTGGCTGATGAAATGGAAGACTCTGGAGAAACCATCAGAACTGCTGTCTACATTGGAGTGGGAGTCTCTGCTGGGTTGGCCCTGGCACTTATCTTTGGTATTTTAGTCCTTAAATGTGAGTTGCTAGATGTTGCTTATTTTTTTCTTTCTGATAAAGAACTGTTACTATAGGAGCCAGTGCAAACCTAGATAGAAATACAATCTTTTTTAAAATTTAATTTTATTTATATATTTATTTATTACAATTTATTCACTTTGTACCCTGGTTGCAACCCCCTCCCTAGTCTCCTCCCAGTCCCACCCACCCTCCTTTTTTCTCCCTTTAGCTCTTTCCCTAGTCCCCTGATAGGGGAGGACCTCCTCCCCTTCTATCTGACCCTAGCTTATCAAGTCTCATCAAGGCTGGCTGAATCATCCTTCTCTGTGGCCTGAAAAGGCTGCTCCCTACTCAGGAGGAGGTGATCAAAGAGCTGGCCATTGAGTTCATGTCAGAGACAGCCCCCATACCCCTTACTAGGGAACCCACCTGGAAACTGAGCAGCCAATGGGCTTCCTTTGAACAAGGGGTCTAGGTCCTCTCCATGCATGGTCCTTAGTTGGAGTATCGGTCTCTGCAGGCTCCCCTGAGCTCAGGTATTTTGGCTGTTGTTTTCCTTGTGGAGTTTCTGTTCCCTCAAGGTCTTTGTTTGTTTTCTTTTTTTTTAATTTTTATTTTTTAATATTAATTACAGTTTATTCATTTTGCATCCCAGCTATAGCCCCTTCCCTCATTCCCTCCCAATCCCACCCTCCCTTCCTCATCTCCTCCCTGCCCCTCTCCAAGTCCACTGATAGGGGAGGTCCTCTTTCCCTTCCATCTGACCCTAGTTTATCAGGTCTTATCAGTACTGGCTGCAATGTCCTCCTCTGTGGCTTAGCAAGGCTGCACCTCCCTCAGGGGGGAGGGGGGAAGGTCAAAGAGCCAGCCACTGAGTTCATGTCAGAGACAGTCCTGTTGCCTTACTAGGGAAACCCACTTGAATGCTAAGCTGCCATGGGCTACGTCTGAGCAGGGGTTCTAGGTTATATCCATGCATGATCCTTGGTTGGAAAATCAGTCTCAGAAAACACCCCTGTGCCCAGATATATTTGGTCCTTGTGGCGCTGTTGTCCTCTCCAGGTCTTACTAACTCCCCCTTCTTCCATATAATTCCCTGCACTCTGCCCAAGGTTCGGTTATGAGTGTCAGCATCTGGCTCTCCAGGTCTTTTTATCTCCCTCTTCTTCTATAAGGATTTCAGCACTCTGCAATAGAGGCCATCATGGAAATACAATCTTTTACTTAAAAAAGTGGTTAGACTAGATATCCATTTGTCCTTCCAAATGCTGCCAGTACTGATAACTAATACTCATTCCAAGTTTCTGTATGTGAAGAAGACACTGCTAAAGGTTTTACACTCGGTCATCATCATCTTATAAACTAGGCAGTACTATCTTTTTCCCAGTCTAGGGCAGAGGAAAGTAAAGCTTGCTGAGCACAGCTGAGTTCTCAAAGCTTCATGGTGAGCAAGACACAAAGCTAGACCTTCAAGTCCAGGCAGATAACCAAGATTGGCTATTTTTGGATACGAAGCCTAACCTTGGGGCTGGTGGGATAGCTCACTGGGTTAAGGAGCCTGTCACAAGCCTGATGCCCTGAGTATCCCAGGTACTTACATGGTAGAGGAAGATAACTGACTTTTTTCATCAGACTGTCCTCTGGCCTCCATATATATGAGTACCTTCTCCTCCTCTCCTCTCCTCTCCTCTCCTCTCCTCTCCTCTCCTCTCCTCTCCTCTCCTCTCCTCTCCTCTCCTCTCCTCTCCTCTCCTCTCCTCTCCCTCCCCTCCCCTTCTTTTCCCTCTCCTCACCTCTTTTCTCCTCTCCTGTCCTTCCATCTCCTTTCCTTTCCATTCCTTCCCTTCTTCTTTCCTCTGATCCCCTCCCCTTGTTTCTTCTCCCCTGTCTTCTCTTCTCACCTCCCTCTTCTGTATTTACCTAATTGAAAAAGCTACACTATTTAAGTTACAAATAAGTGTATGCTTAGTAGGAAACCCAACAATACTACCTCTCTGTGTGGGTTTCTATGTTGCTTTCTCATGCATGTCTCTGTAACACTGAACCATGACTGTATACCAAAGCTAGGTTTTCTCTAGCATACATATTGTCTTCATTCAAACAAACAACTTGGCATGTAGTACAGTTATTACTTCATAGCATGCAGGAAGCCCTAGAGGCTGGTAAAACTAAGAGTGGCGGCATACTCCTGAAATCCCAGAACTCTCTAGGACAGCAGTTCTTATCCTGTGGTGACATCACATCAGATATTTGCATTATGACTCATCAAAGCAGCAAAATTGCAGTTATGAAGTAGTAACAAAATAATTTTATGGTTGTGGTCACTATAGCATGAGGAACTGTTTCAAAGTTTCACAGCATTAGGAAGGTTGAGAACCACTGAGCTAGAGGTAGAAACAGAGGATCAGAAGTACAAAGTCATCCTCAACCACACAGTGAGTTTTAGAACCTGTCTCAGAAAAATAGTGTTTTTTTTTTCACTTTGGTTACTGTACTTGGACACCATTATGACACTCAAGATCCCACTGTTCCCATCAGCCCAAAGCCTTTCATAATTGTTATATACTTCTTTTCTCTAAGAGCAGAGGAGAAGGCATTAACCAGAGTATAACGCACTATAGCAGCCTTTCTCCTTAACACATAACAGGGACTATCTCTGGAGGGAGATCAGTCTTCTCAGATTTTCCCAGGACTGAAGGAAGTTCCTAAAATATGGCGCTTCCAATGGTAAAGCTAGGGCCATCTGGGAACAACCAGGATGACTTGGGTCCCCCTGACTGTGAACTGAAGTTGTCAAGGGCTTTAAGGAGGTCAGGCCCAATACCTACGATCCACAATATCAAATATACTAGATACAATTGATACTTGGCTGGGCAACTAGCATGTTGAGCAACAAGCCCAAATACATCAGTTAGTTGATGGTATAGGCAATGAAATCAGCCTTACTTCTCCTGATGGTTTCCTCCACTTTTTGGTAAATGGGTTTTTTTTTTTCCAAAAAAAGAAACAATACCACACATATTCACATGGGTTTGCCCAGAGACTGCATTTAAACACTGGAGACTGGTCATGTGAATATAAAATCTAGACGCCATGAAATTATGGCAGGGGAAATTATAACATACGCTACCTTTTGAGTCCTTCCAAGACCTAGAAATTAGAGACTTTGGTAATTTATGTAAAAGATAAGGAGGTGGGTATTTCTAGGTTAGAATCCCACCCTAAGTTGGGAGTTCTTTCTCTCTTTTTCTTAATAAATCTGTGCTCGTTCTAGCCTTTAAAAGAAGCATGGGTGAAATCCAGTATACTGATACCTTTCAATGAACACAGGTTTCACACCAGTGGATTCAACAATGAAGTCAAAAATAATAGAAGATCATTTATACTTAACATGTGTAGACATAATGTAAATATCCGAAGGCAGCATAACAATCATTTATGTAGCATTTATATCATTCTAGATATTATAAGCTGTCTAGAAATTGTTTAAAGGGTGTGGAGGAGTGTGACAGGTATTAATGATGATTTATATAAGGAACTTGAGCACACTTGGTTATTGGTGTTAGTAGGAGTTCCCTGACCAACCACAGTGGACTTAGAGGGACAAGGGTAAACATTGAAGGTGCTTTTGAGGAATAGATCAAAATGTACTGTTCAGTTTGTAATTTTTCCCTTGATGTTGAGGATAACAATCTGACAGATTAAGTCGTGTCATCACAGCCACAAACTAGCTGGGTAGTGTCCATCAGTCCTCTGCCTTTCTGGTGGGCTGTCTGCTATCTTAGATGGCCATCCATGCTTCACTACTGTTTAACCTCCTTTAACCCTCTCCTAACGAAGGAAATACCAAAGGCATGTTTCCTTTGCCAAGTCTTCATCTCTTCTTCTGAGTTGCTAATCTCACTTCTATCCTTGAAGTGCCATAGATATAATGTTCGTCAAGCCAAAATTTTCTTTCCTTTTTCTGATAAACCCAGACAGCTTTGTCTTTATTGTGGTTAATCTTTGTGTGATAATGTCTCAAGTAAAGTCCATGCTTTGTTCTAAAATGGCTTTGGAAATATCATTCATTGTATTCGAATGGTCAGTACTTCCCATTATGTAGATATTTATTCTTCTGCCTGGTGTTTAGAAGCTGAAATTCCTTCAGATTTGGGCTTTTTCTTTTCTTTGTAAACCTTCTAGTTTGTAACATGTATTCTATGGACTTATTTATTCTCCTTAATCTTTTTAACTGTTATAATGTCTATGTAGCTCATCTCCCTGTCCAGTTGATATTCCATTTTGGAGGTTCATAGATTCATAGGTCAGAAACAAGGCTCCTGCTTCCGTGCTCCTCTCCCCAGGACCCAATTTTCCAGCCCCGGACTTCTATGTCATTTCACTGCCATCTCTCTGGTTGCTTATGCCAGGAATACAGAAGTCATCCCGGACATCAATGTCTTTATATGTAATCAACTTCAGATTCAGTCTCTGTACAGAATACATCTCAAATTGCTTCATTATTCTGCACCTTGTTTGGTCAACCATTTTCTTTATTTCTCCTTCTAATCAGTTCTCTACACAGTGGTCGGGTAGGTTCATACTGTAACTCAGTGATATTATAGAGGTCTTCCTGTCTTATATTCTACAGATTATTTTTGCTGTTGTTTAGTTAGTTTGTTTTGTTGAGACCAGGTCTCATGTACTGCTTGCTCGCCTTGAACTCTTGATCCTCCTGCCTCCACATCCCAAGGGCTGTGATTACAGGATTATAACTGATTATATAGTTATATAGTTTTACCGCTGAGATTTTATTGGGTGCCACTCTCTTGTCCTAGTCATGATTTTGGTTTTGACACCAAGCAGAACCTTTCCTGAGGGTTCTATGTTCCTGTAATTTTTTTCCCTAGCTCTTGATATAAGTGATTAATTTTTTTCTTCCAGAACAGACCTCAATCATCATGTCCTAATGCCCTCTTCTAGCCTTCTCCAGTTTTATGCTAGTGTATGGTGTTGATTTTCTTTGATAACGCATTGCAATCCGAATTTTTTGTCATTCCTTCCCTCCCTCCACTCTTCCCTCCCTCCCTCCTTCTTCCCTCACTAAGATGCATGCTTGGTGGAGTCAGAGCTCACAACTCCAACCGTGTGTCCTTTGTGTCTACCAAACTGCTACACACACAGAAAAAGCCTAGTATTTGTTAAATAAGAGTTATACATTATCATTATTTCTTAACATAATTCTAAGATATTATTGGTAGTTTGATTTAATTTGTTCTAAAGCAAGACCAAATTTCACTAGCAACTCTCACCTCCAACCAGTCTGCTTTATTTCTTATCACAGTTATCTTAGAAAATTTATCTAATTGATTTTCCTACCCCCATTATACAGGGTATTCTTACAAGAAAAAGAAGACACAGAATTTGAGGTAAGAATAATAGAAGAGGGAAAGGGGTATTGGAAAAAAGGGAACAATGTGGTTTTATTTTTTTCTCTGAGAAAGTCTTAGTTGGAGCTTTGATACCTCAGGTTAGGTTTCCTCTGTTTATGAAGGGAAAATTCAATAGTTGCCCCCCCCCATACATTTAGCTTCCTCAGTTCTAAAGCTGAGATGCATAATTTGCCTCATTATTATTATCAAATCCTTATTTCTAGTTTCCAATGAACTGAACCTTTAACTGAGTGTTTACTATTTCTATGGTGCTAGCAAAATGAGAGAGAGGAGGGAGGAAGGGAGGGAGAGAATGAGAGAGAGAGAGAGAGAGAGAGAGAGAGAGAGAGAGACCCTCAATGGCAGCTATGGTCAGGGCTTTTATTGCCCAGCCCAGGCATTTCCTATTCTGGCAGCATATTAGCATGACCTGGGGACCAACTTGCTAATATAGGACATACCTAGAGCAACTAAATCTTGCTGATACCTAGAGCAAATAAATCAGGATCTGGAGCCTGAGGTGGTATTGTTCTCATCATTATTCCATTTCTGACTGTACACACACACACACACACACACACACACACACACACACACAGAGAGAGAGAGAGAGAGAGAGAGAGAGAGAGAGAGAGAGAGTTTACAGTTTCAGTAAGAGTCAATACCTGAAAAACTGCAATGTATTTCAAGGGAAAATATTATCTGCTGAATTCTATAGTAATCACATCTTAGATAAGATGTCAACAACATTCAGAATGTTCCAAGGACAAAATAATATAAAGTGAAAAGTCATGTAAATCCAAATATATGGTTTAATTTATCAGGGTCATTATTCTTCAATAGAAGTGAAATGGTAAACATGATATCCATAGGTAATTCTGACAGGCATCAGCTCAGTATCTGTGAAATGATGTGCTCAGTATTAAGCTCTACCTGCTGCTATAAACCGACAGCAAACTATGACCTAGAATGCTATGCTGACTATTGTGACTCTAGCACAGCGTCCGATGAATTGCAATAATCAGCTCTAATAAATGAATGGTCTAATGCTCCCCGCAGCAGCCCTGCTCCAGCGCTCTTGCTATTTCTTTTTCTAGATGTGAGAACACTTGAGGCTCGAGGCTTACAAACACATGACATCTATGGATATATGTATTTTGTTCACTTCTGTAGTCTACAGATGCACAAGACAGCGTGTAACTGTCTTGAACTAAACATTGCATGTGTATATGAATGGCATGAAAACAGACGGAAGACTATTTGGGAAGAGGAGAAGGGGCACAAGAGATGAAGATTAGGTAGATTACAGGTAGATTACAGAATATACAGCTATAAAAGGTTATCATGAAGCCCATATTTTGTATAATCTATGTGCCAAATAGTGCTAAAAACCATTCAAAACCTCAAACCAAACGAACAACCAAGCAACCAACCACAAACAAAAAAAAAATGAGTTCACCCAAGCCATGATGTTGGGAAGAAAGAAAAAATTCCTACTCAAGTCCGATTCAGTCTATAACACATTCACACTTCTCCTTTTGAAACTGTTGGAGCACACAGAGGGTTAAAACAACAGTGCAAGGGACACTAGAGCCCTTCACCTTCAACTCATGCTTGGCACTTGGAATACCCGTGTTGTCTAATTCTCAGTAAGTATAGGGCTTTCTCTTAACTACCTGTCAGTATGATTCAGGCATCTTGACACTTCCCAAACACTTTGGCCTGTGACTTCCAAGAATAGGGACCTACCGTTTCCATACCTAAGAAAATTAAGAGTAATTTACATGTCTTTGATTGTTGCCCAAATTACCGGCTGGGTTTCTGTCAGCGAGTGAGTATCCAGTCATTCGGCTGCTGTCATCAGTGATGCCTACTCTCTGAACTCTATTCTCTGTTGTCTTGGGCAATTCTTCTATCAACTTCTGCATTTTATTTTTACAGCCTCATCACACTGGCCAACTTCCCTCCAGTGGGGCTGACGAACGCAGGAGCAGGCAGGGTTCGGTCAGAGGAAAATATCTACACCATTGAGGAGAACGTCTACGAAATGGAGAACTCAAACGAATACTACTGCTATGTCAGCAGCAGGCAGCCATCCTGACCACCTCCGCGCTGTCACTTTTAAAGGCTCTCCTTCACTTTTGACTTTGGTATTTTCCTCTTTGAAAACTATGAGATATGTCACCTGACAAGTTTTGAAGTTTTTGTCCACAGCCCCCAAGGAGAGCGTTCCTGTTTTCTGCGGGTGATGAGAACCCACAGGGAGATTCAGCTGTAACCTATACTACATTGAAATGTACCAGTACCTCTGAGTTTCAGGGATAGGATCTCCCACCCCAGGAGCTTGCAGTCATGGATGTTGAAGCTCATGTGTGCTTTCATACACTAGGAAGGCTTAGTATGATGTCTCTGGAGCTCTGGGACATTCAGGTTTGAGGTGTGCTCACAGGGTTCCTGAACAGATAGGGGGAATAATAGGCTAAGATAGGTAGGTGCAGGCATTGATACAGAAAATCTAAAGAGGCTCTGGCTTTTCCAGAGATTTCTGACCTTGAAAGATTAAGAAAGAACCAGGTGTTACGTACCTATAATCACATAACTTGGGAGCTTGAGGCAGGAGGGTGTTGAGCATGAGATTTTCTCTCAAACACAAAAGAAAGAAAAAAACCAAAAAACCAACGAAACATACACACACCAGGAGGCTGGAGAGATGGCTCAGACACTGAAATGCTTGATTCTGAGGAACTTGAATTTGATCCCCAGAACCCCCCTGAAAAAGCTAGGCGTGGTAGTGCGTGCTCGAGAGATGGGGCGGGGTGAAGGCAAAGCAGATCCCTTGGGCTGGGTTTTCTGTCAGCTTAGCAAAGTTTGAGTTCCAAGTCAGTGAGAGCCTGTGTCTCAAAATAAGGTGGACTGTGTTTCTAAGGAATGACAATGGTGGTTGCCCTGTGGTCTCTGAGCACACATGCCTAAGTACCTGAGCACAGAAATGCGCGCGCGCGCGTGCGCGCGCACACACACACACACACACACACACACACACACACACACACACACACACGTGTGCAATCACACTTGAAAGAAATGAAGGAAGAAAGGAAGGACCAGAACAGGACTAACAGTGAAGGTCCTCTCTGGGCCTGCTGCCTCTCCACAATGTTTATCTTTACATGACTCTCCTCTGTCTCTCTTAAGACTGCTTCTGCCTGGGAGCATGGTGGTGCAGACCTGTAGTTAATTCCAGCACTCAGAAGGTTGAAGCAGGAGAGTTTACAAGCGTCGTGCGCCTCCTTCCTGGACTCTCCTTCACATAAGAAAAAGGCTGCTCATGGGCCCGCTGACTAAAAAGAAACCCTTTTCAAAAGATGAATCTTGCCTGTTGTGTGCTCAAAAGGAACTGCCTCAGACAACTTCCCCATTCAAGGAAGGAAACTGGAGTTGTGCTTTTCACAGAAGAAGAACCAGTGACTGGGATATGTGAAGGCAGAGGCCTTGCAGCAATCTACGTAGTCAGCAAAAGAGCCTTTGGTAGAAGGTCAACAAACCTAATTTCCAAGCTGGTGGAGACCAATTTCATCTGGCTGACGGCTGCCTGCCCAGTGCCTTGGTCTGTGTTGGTTCCCATATATAACAGAACCTAATTAAATAGAGTGTAAAAAGTTAAACGAGCAGAATGGTAGCTGTGTTGACAAGCTTTTTGCATTGGGAAGCTACTGTGTACATCAGAAGACATTCATCAGCAGGGACACAGGTACCTGCCTGTTTGTCCAAATTTTGTATGAATGTTGTTGTTTAGGCTGCCCCTAGCTAGTTGTGGGAGACATGGGTGGCTTCCTTAGGTGGATATGGGCAGGAAACCATCTGACAAGACCAATTAGAGGTAACAGCTCTCACGCAGGTGGGAAAATTAATTGCAAATGCTGTAAAGTTATAGAAGTATCCTGGGAAAGGACTTTGAACACATTTAAACCAGAATAATGATTTCCTCTGTTGAGGCTCTTACCTGACAAAGTCTTTAAGCAAGAGCATATATATAAAGATGACCGCTTGGCTGGTATTTGCAGGGGACTTTTTACATCAATAGGAGGATGGTTCATTACGTGTTAATATCGACACTTTATATCGATTGCTAACTTGAAAGGCTCTAAAATCACCTTGGAGATGAGTCTCTAGCCAAGTCTGTAAGGCATTTCCTAGATTAGATTGGGGGAGTGGAAGAGCCACTCCATCTAAACGTGGGTGCGGCCACTCTGTGGGCTGATGTCCTGAACTGCGTAAGAAGAGAAGGCCAGTTCAGCACCAGCATCCCTCTCTGCTTCCTCACGGTAGTTACAGTAAGACCAGCACAGCCCTGTTCCTCCTGCCATGTCTTCTCACCATGGTGGACCATATCCCCTTGACTCATAAGCCAAAATAAAACTTTCCCCTTTAAAGAGGCTTTCGTTGGCTATTTTGTCATAGCATCTGGGAAAGTAACCGGTACACACAGTATAGATATGGTTAAAAAGAACTAGGCAGCTTTACTGAGAGCTTTTGCTTTTTTTGCTTTTTTTGAGATAAGGTCTCATATATCACAGGCTGCCCTTGAACTTCTAATCTTCCTGCCTTCCTTTTGAGTGCAGTGGCTACCATGCCTGGCAACAAATACATCTAAGTGGCTGCAATGTGCAGGCACTCTGGTACTGGGACAATAGAATGAACCACATTTCTGGCCTTGTGAAATGTCTAAGTCATCCTGACAGGAGAAAGGTCATGTCCGTTCATTCAGGAGATCTTTACTACTTTTTTCTGGGCACTATTTAGTCTCTAGAAACATCAGAAAAGACACAGTCAAAATCTGTACTATGAGCTGGGCACAGTGGCACATGCCTGTAATCCCAGCACTCAGAGAGGCAGAGGAAAGTGGATTTCTGAGAGTTCAGGGTCAGCCTGGTCTACAAAGAGAGTCTAGGACAGCCAAGGCTAAACAGAAAAACCCTGTTTTGAAAAACTGAAAAAAAAAAAAATCTATGCCATGAGCTGGTGTGGTGGCACATGCCTTTATCCCATCACTCCAGAGGCAGAGGCAGAGGCAGAGAGGCAGAAGCAGAGGCAAAGAGGCAGCGGCAGAGGCAGGAGAGGCAGGCAGATCTCTGAGGATTCAAGCCCAGCCTGATCTATAAAGAGAGTCCAGGACAGCAAATGTTATACAGAGAAACCTTGTCTCAACACTCCACCCCAAATCTGCTCCATGGAATTTATACTGTTTGTCAGACAAGAATACTACATTTTTAAATCAAGAAAGAATATTCTAGGATTGTGTATTTTTTTGCTTAACATATGGAAAAAAATACGCAAATGAATAATTACACTCTAGGATATTTCAGTTTTTCCTTTTACACACTTTCTTTAAAATTTGAATATTTTTGTTTTTCTTTGTTTATGATAATTAACATAAGCATTACAGCAAAGTTTTCCTGTTTCTTGTTCTCATCAAAGAACATAGGTCAAGGTAAAAGGCAGCAGAAGGTGGCAGTAAGCTGGAACTAGAGCCCTTTTTTTTCGATTTGTAGGCATTAAATTCAAGTATTTGGAATGGGATTGGTAGGTGTCACAGGAAAAAATAAGGGAGCCAAATGAGATAGTAAAAGGAGCCCAGGAAACAGCAAAGAGGTAGCTTAAAGCCTTTAAAACAAGGATGGAGAGATGGCTCAGTAGTCAAGAATTGCTGTACTACCATGAGGATGAAAGTTTGGCACTCAGGAAACCTGCTCTAAGTGTGGGTGGAGCCATTCCATGTACTGGTGTTCAGGGAGAGACTCTGCCTCATAGAAATAGTCAGAGAGATATAGATGAGGACACATGATTGCCTCTTCTAGTCTTTGTGCATGTGCTTAAGCACATGAGCTGCACACAGATGTACATGTACACACACACACACACACACACACACACAAACTCAAGAGATACAGGCCAGCTAAATTAAAATGAACCAAAACAAACAGTAAGAAAAAAAATGCTGATGAAATGACTCAGTCCAAGCCTAATGAGTTGGATTCCCAAGCCCCTGTCAACTCAAGTTCCATCTCTGGAACCCATGGTGAAATGAGAGAACTGACTCCTGAAAGTTGTCCTCTGACTTCTACATTCTTACTGTGGCATTCGTGAGCCTGTGCTCAGATGTACTCTTCATAGGCACACACTGATAATAAGTTAAATTAAAATTAAAACTAAAATTAAAAATAAAATCTTTCAAAGCTTATATAAAGATTAAGGCCTGTCTGGGATGCACGAGCTCTTACCTCAAAACAAAAAACAAGAATAAAACCCTCAAAAAGCAAGAAATAAAAGGCTGGCAAGATGGCTCAGCAGTTAAACACAGTTGTTCTAAATCATGAAAACTGGAGTTCAGAACTCAATATCCTTGTAAAAAGCTGGGTGTCTTGCACATGCCTATAACCCCATCTCTGAGGTAGGTGTGTTTATGTTTGTATGTGTGTGTGTGTGTGTGTGTGTGTGTGTGTGTGTGTGTATGTGTAAGAATCATCTGGTCTTGCTGGCTTCCATTATAGCAGAGCAAATTTCAGACCCAAAATCTAGGAAAGGGCCTGCCTCATCAGAACAAGTGGAGAGGGATAGAGGAGTCACCCGAAGACCTCTTTTTGCGTTTATTCATGTGCACAGACACAATCACCATATATGTGTTTGTATGTACACACACAGTTACACAAACACGTATCATTAATCAAGTAACCAACTAACCAACTAACCAACTAACTAACTAACTAACTAACTAACTAACTAACTAACTAACTAACTAACTAACTAACTAACTTTAAAAATAAAAGAGATTGTAGTCCAATTGGTAGAGTGAAGGTGAGAAGTTCAAGGATATCCTCTTGTATATCTGAGGTTGACCTTTGTATGAGAAAGGTCAGTACCAGCCTGGGCTACATAAGAGCCTGGTGACTCAGAGAGAGGGAGAGAGAAGGAGAAGGAGAGAGAGGACAGAGACAGAGATGGAGAAACAAAGAAGAGACAGAGACAGAGAGATGAGAAAAAGGAGAGAGGCAGAGGGAGGAGGGGAAAGAGAGGGAAGGATGGAGGGGAGAGAGAAAGAGAGAGAGGGAGAGAGAGAGAGAGAGAAGACTGAATGTGTAGTTTGCCATTACAAGTACTTTCCTATTCAACCAGACAGGTCCTGAGAAAGGAGGGTTTTCTGCCCGTGGATTATAGGTTTGGAATTCCCATGACAGAAGCTGTAAGCAGTTCAACAGCTCTCCTGATAACAGCAAGTCATTTATATGAGTTATTTTCCCCCTTTAAGAATAAATATAGCATGGGCTTGTAGAAACAGCTTGTTGATATTAATGAAAACACCATACAACATATAATGGCATACATTCATGTCTAAGTTTATGACTTGAGTTCGAGAAATGCAGTCATTATATAATACCACTTCCAGCACCATTCAGCCTCTCTATTAAACAGAAATAGAATTTGGAACTCAACTGGCCCTCATGGCTACTCCCAAAGGTGATCTATTGACTTACAGAAACAGAGCAGAACCCAGCTTTACCCCTCGATTTTATGCAAATGGTCTGGATCCTTCCGGAGAGACACAGAGGTGCTCTACAGCAGCCAGTGTGAGATGTGTTGGGTTTTGGCTGAGTGGTGAGGTGACCTTTTTACCTCAGGGTCTTCAAGTCTGAGGAAGGCTTAGGTATCGGTTGCTTTTCAGTGGGAAAACGAGGAAGCGTGAGGCAGAAGTGTTCCTTTCAGGCTTCTAGATCCTCTGTGTCTTGTTGACTGCTGTTATAATAAATAAAGGTCACTCAGGCTATCAAAATGGCTCAGTGGATAAAAGCACGGGCTGCCCAGCCTGATGACTTGAATCTGAGACCCCAGAAGTCCATATGGCAGAAGGAGTAGACTGATATCCCTCAGCTGTGCTCCCACATCCACGTGTGCCCCGAGGCACACACACACACAAAATGTGTAAATAGATAAATGTTAATAAAAACATAAAGGTTATTTCAAGTCACTGATTTCCTCTGTGATTAGTCTCATATAAATTCATGCCCTAATCTCTTGGGCTTATATGAATTCCTATTTTCAGAGAAAGCAGTGAGGTTTTTTTTTTTTTTTTTTTTTTAAAGCGGCTTATTTAACTATTCATGTGCAGTAATGAGGCATCAGTTTAAAGTTGCTCATTATTTTAACATGATAATTGGACCTGCCTCACTTTTTATTTGTTTTATTATACGTTTACATTTTAGTCTTATAATTGACATTTATGCATTTGTCATTTGCAATTTCATTTGAACTTTGATGATCTTTCTTTTCTTTTCTTTCTTTTTTCTCTTTTCTTTCTCTTTCTCCTTCCCTCCTTCCTTCCCTTCCTCCCTCCCTCCCTCCCTCCCTCCCTCCCTCCCTCCTTCCTTCCTTCCTTCCTTCCTTCCTTCCTTCCTTCCTTCCTTCCTTTCTTTCTTTTACAGGTTCTTGCTCTGTAGCCTAGGCTGGCCTTCAATTTTCTATGTAATCCAGTTGGAACTCAAGTTTGATGTAATCCCCCTTCCTCTGCCTCCTGAGTGCTAGGATTAGAGGTCACCATCACACTGGGCTCCATTCATTTTAAATCTAGATGAAGTAAAACCCTCCCATTCTCTGCCTTCCCTGCAAAGCTGCTCCCCTGTTCTCCCAAGGAGAGACCCTTGGCTGTGCTTTGTTCTTCTAGACCAGCTGTCCCTGATCAGCTCACTGGGGTGGGCTGGGGTTAGATAGGTGGTGTTGAATTTGATTTACACTTATATGTTTGTTTACTCCTTTGGATCTGCTCTGACACTGCTGGATTCCTATATGGTTATGTCAGTACAGCTCAGCTGTGCACTGAACTTGTTCATACAACTCGAGGAACAGTGAAAGTAAGGGGTCAAATATCAGATTGTTTCCTACGTGTTTGTTCCACAATAGATTTCTACAGCAGTTTCCGTTTTCTTTCTTTTTCTTTTTTCTTCCTTTCTCTTTCTTTCTTCTTTTTTTGGTGTTGGTGGTGAGGGGCTTAGACAGAATATCTGTGGCCAGGGTGACCTTGAACTCAGAATGTAGTGGAAGATGAACTTGAACTCTTGCTCTTCTGACCTCCACCTCCATTGTTGTGGTCCCCATTGTGTACCACCCTAATGGGCTATAACAATTTCCCTATGCCCAAACTGACTAGATCCTAGCCAGCTTCTCTGGACCTGGTGCTGACTGAGCTGAGGGAGAAGGAATTCTCCGGTGTTGACTGTGAGGGACTTTAAAGCCTGTCTGCTCCAGGCCTCAGTGAAGTTCTCTGTAGTCTTCACGGTTCCTTCCAACAGTGACATCAACCACCCTCCTCAGGCTGAAACTTCCCACTACGCATGCAGCAGCCTCAGCATCCCGGAATGTCAGGTGAAGAC